TAGAACATGAAAAGGAAATCCAAAAGTTAACATATTCTTCTTGTTACTTCAGATTTAGTTGCATCATGTTGTTGAAAGCTAAATGTATTTATCTACCTCAGTGGTTTTACATAAATTAATATATAAACAGGAAAGAATTTTTCAGTCGTTGGATTATTAATGGTACCCATTAAAATAGTGTCATAGGGGCTTCCCTGGTGGCGCAGTGGTTGAGAGTACGCCTGCCGATCAGGGGACATGGGTTCGTGGCCCGGTCTGGGAGGATCCCACATGCCGCGGAGCGGCTGGGCCTGTGAGCCATGGCCACTGGGCCTGCGCTTCCGGAGCCTGTGCTCCGCAACGGGAGAGGCCACAACAGTGAGAGGCCTGTGTACCGGAAAAAAAAAAAAAATAGTGTCATTGTCAGTATGATGTTACCAGTTCAGAAATGAATAAAATGGGATTTAAATTGTTTTGAAATTTCCCCGTGCAATATCAATTTATTAATACCATTTCTTTGTTCGGAAAAAATATTAAGTAACATGGCAATGACATCTCTGTGCAGCATAACTAATTATGGTGCACTTAAGTCACGATAATGATAAAAGTGTTTCTCAGGATATACACTTTTTCTTTGAGGTAGAGAAAAGTATAAGCAGATTAGAATTCTCTTCATAACTTTTTTAGGCTGTAAGGGTTTACTGGGGGAAATCATGTGCTGTGAGTGGGGTGTTGTGGACAGAGGAGGAAGGAGAGGATGACGACCAGCTGCTATTCTGAGAGCAAAGCAACAGTGAACAGTCTAATTCATCTACCAACTCCTTTTTTTAAGTTTTTATTCAGAAAGAGAGGCCTATGGAATCCCTGGAGGGGCTCCTTCTGGATGTGCATGGCGAAGCAGACCTGTGCATTTCCAGGGCTTGACTGTGGTGGCTGTGAAAATCCACCGTTCAGATCTCCTCCTGAGGGCAGCATGGTTGACTGTTGGCTTGAGCTGAGTCCCATATCTAAAAGAGGTGGGGCTCCTTAATGGGCTACTTTTGCTCAGGACTCTCCATCAACTCTGTTGAAATTTTCTTAGAACTGGGTTGTAATCAGAGACTCTTTTTACCCAATCCTCTTCTCTCCCTCTTCTTCACAGGTGTCAGATTAGCATCATGGTTTGAAGGTTCTTCCCATATTCTCTAGATTCCTCCTCTTTATTCTTCACAGGCTTTTTCCCCCTACAATAAATGTCTTGCACATAATTACAGTAATCAGCTGTCTAGGCCTCAGCTTCTCAGAGTACTTGATCTGACATAGGTTTTTGGGATAATATCAATAATTTGGTATTAAATGTGCTAATCATGAGATATTCATTGGATGCTCAGGTGTAGACATTGAATAGGCAGTTATGCACACAAATCTGAAGATGCAAGAAGTGAGAAGAGAGGTCTAGTCTGAAGACAGAAATTGGGGAATTGACCAAGTATCAGTGGTATTCAAGCAATAAAACAGGATGAGTTGCCAAGGTAGTGATGTAAATAGAGAGAAGGAGGGGCCTGAGGATTAAGCCCTGATTGACCCTCTCAACCAGAAAAGATGAATGAGCAATGAGGTAGGAGGGAAATCAGGAGAGTGGGATGGGCTGCAAGTCAAGTGAAGGAAGTTTTTCAATTATAGTGAAGTCTATAATTAGCCTTGTAAATGCTGCTGATGGATCAAGCAATATGAATTCTGAGAATTGATGACTGGATTTAGCAATTACAGGGTAATGGCTGACCTTGAGAAGAACATCTTTAGAGGAGATGTAGTGGTGGGAGACTGATGTGAGTGGATTATCAAGAAAGAATAGGGAAAAAAAAGTGAATATAGAAATGCAGAGAGTGACTAGAAAATGCTCTCAAGAAGTTTTGCCATAGAGGAGAGCAAGGAATTGGGTGTTTCCTAGAGGATGAAGTAGATTCAAGTTTTTTGTTCATTTGTTTGCTTTTGTTTTTAAGATGGAAAAAATTAAATTATGTTTTTTTCATGATAGGAATGATCTACTAAGGAGGGGGGAAAGAGATGGTATAGTAGGGAGAGGGGAAAGGCATTCTGAAGCAATGTCCTAGAGTTAGAGGGAAGAGTGGACAGTTCAACTCATGATAGAAGGAAAGGCAGATTGAATATGCACAGATGGAGGTAGGTGGATAAATGTGGGTGCCGGCCCTTGTGGAAAATCTTTTCTAACTGATTCTATTTTCTGAGTGAAAGTGGAATCAAAAGGAGGTGTTAGAGGTTTATATTTATCTAGAGAGTGAATAGCTTCAGGAATTGCAGTATGATTGCCTTGCAGCATTAAGAACCCATTTGGGGTTTAGGCATGAATGTAAAATGAGAGCAGTCAGCACACATTGGTTTTTTTCTGTAATCACGATCAGCTCTGCAGGGACAGCACAAATAGGCACTGGGCTGGATTTAGTTAGGGTTTGGGTTTTACCAACTGAATACCTCAATGGAGTTGAGGTCGTAAGCAAGAGAGTGATTTTAACACAATGCAAAAGAGGACATGAAGATGGTGAGCATCTCAGTTACCCCATTATCCCTAAAGAACACCACGTAAGCAAATGCCAAGTGGAGTTTGTGAGTAAAATTCTCCTTAGGTGACATTTTTATTCCACATATCAGCATGACTCAAAGACAGGTTCGGGAGTCGGGGTGCTTTTGCAAAGGGAAATCACCAATGGAAGCACTAGAACACATCATTTGCCAACTGATAGCGTCTTGGACTGAATTGCAGGATTGATAAGGCAGAGATATTAATGGCTCATATTTCAAAAGAGCAGGCTTTTCATGTTAAGAAAATGAATCAGTGGAAATATTTGTCAAACCAGTAAGCTTACTCAATGATAATGTTTTGCTTAGATAACTTGGGCCAGCATGTATATTTTTTGCAAGAGCTAGTCAAAAGATTTTCATGAGAGCAAGAATTCCACATTGAAACACAGCACTGAGATTTCTACCTCAATTAGCTTCTTTGTGCATTTAATACATTATGCTTTATAGTAATTTGCTTTAAAATGATAAATGCGACTATTCTGTGTATATATAGGAAAAAAACCCAGTAAAACATGAACAAGATGCCACTTCTACCAAACATACCTCAATCATTTCTTAAAATTGCTCTTTTAGGTACTCAAGCATTCCCTCTGTGCACTCAAATGTTTTTAATTAGTGTTTTTTAAATAGCCTAAAGCCAATAATTCTATTATTTATATGTCCAAACAAATTAAATATTGTTTTATAGCAATAATTCTTAGGTTTTTGACAAACATCAGTTTTTGTAGATGTTGGGATATAAGATTAACAGAGTTCCTGCCTTGATTTGTTACTTAAATTTGGTCTGCTTATATGTATAATTTGTTGAACATGCACCAGTATTTTATATAATGGCAAGGTTGACTAAGCAGTGATATTTGAAAATTTCTTTTGAAATGTCCACATCTCAACAAAATTTATATAGCTAACATACCATGTTTCTGGAGAACATGTTTAGAATCTTCTGTGGTAGGAAAAAATATGCGTATAATACATATAGTTTTTTCATTTTTTTCACTTTCCAACTATTATTCTTAAGGTAATATTTCTTTTTGTCTAATAATGACCACACGATGTGACAACTGTTCCTTAAAAGCTCCATTCCACCTTGAGAATAAGCTGTTACTTTTCTTAAGGCATATTGAACCTCTCCACCCATGAGAAATTGGCTTGCCTGCCTGGGAAGGGAATCCCTAAGCACAGGTTGTGTGGGAATAATGAAATCTGTCATATGCCTTTTAGGAGTATCAGTTTCAGGGTCCAGCCGATTGGGACTCATTCTCTGATTCTGTCACTCATGCATGGGCTGTGTGAATTTGGGCCAAGTTACTTCATCTTCTTGTGCCTCAGCTTTGTTGTCTGTGTTCCCCTCACAGCCTTGAATAGAATGTTAAATACAAGAGAATAGGGCTTGGTCTGATTTAACAAAGAATCTGTAGTGCCCAGCATACAAATGGGTCCTGAATAAATATTTGTTGCATGGATAAATATATGAACTATATAACTAGAAGAGTATAGCGATAGTAATTATATAATAGGAATATTTTGAGGATACAGTGACATAAAACATGATGAATACAGAGCACAGTCCTGGATCAGAGTAACTCTTACTGGAGGGAGTTCTAGATAAGTCAGGATAAGTTTGCCTTCTGTGTCTAATCTCTATTTCCCCTTCAGATTGTGGATGGCATATTTATATTAGGACAAGTGGCCCTGTGCCATACTCTAGCACCTGGGAACTGTGTAAGATGGAAAATATTTACTACTACACATATCTCTTAACTCTTTCATAATATTTGGGAGAAGTAGAAACAAGCCAAGAGGATTAAAGGATTTTAGCATACAATCTAAAACTCATGTTATCAATGAAGATGTTTTTAGAAGTTAAGCATGCATACCAGAAAACTAGAGGTAGCGTATATGATATTTCATTGATTTTAAGATGCATGTTTTAAATTTTTACATGTCCAAAATCTGGACACATTTTACAATCAATGGCATCTTACAATTGATTGGACTTTCTTTTGTTCTTTCTTTCCTTTTCTTTCTTTTTATTTTGTCTTTCCTCTCTTCCTCCTTTCCTTCTTTGTAGTTCATAATATAATAGGGTATCTTAAATAGATTTAATAAAATATGGTACATATATTAAATTTGTCTTTCTCAGTGTTTATTTCTTATCATAGCGCAACTCTGGAAAGGGGCTCTTTTTTTCTACTTTCCCATCCCATGAAAATTTAATACCATAGATATACTCTATATCTGTTTATGTATTGCATGTATATTTATTTTATGAATAAAAAGAGTAAGATATTTTTGTCCCCCCACCAAGAAACAATTTTTATCCCATTGGGGACACTGTTATACCCATTAAGAAGGCAGGTATGAAAGTGATAAATCTGAATTATTCTTAGTTTTAAAAACCTCATTTACTGGAATATTGGAAATCATAAACTAATTCTTAGGCTTAGGTAGAGCTATTGGCTTTAATTATATAACAAACTGACTAGAAATTTTATTATTATCATGAATGACTGTCAAAATGCGTGTAAAGTTTGAACATTTGCTATTTACCCCAACAGTCAGAAAGCTATCCGTAATATTTTTTGTTAACAAATAAAAGATCGTCAAGTTCACCCAGTGGAATCATTCAACATATCATTCTCATATTATGAAATAAGACTATTTAATAATTTCAGTGTATATACATTTAGGATGTTCACTACTTCACCTTTACTTACAAAGTCATGATTTTAAGGACATAACTTGAACACTACATCAATAAAGAGATTTTTTAAAGACCATCTAGTTTCCATGGAATACTAAGAGATACCGCCTTTATACTGCACATATGCACTCAGTGGGGAGGATGAAGATGCACAACTCTCGAAGCCTTTGGGTAGCAATCTTCTACCGCAGTCTAAGCAGTTTTGGGTTTCTACCTCCAACCGTAATGATGGAATACAGAGCTCAGTCCATTTGTGATCGGTCATCTGCACCAGAGGAAAGATAGGGACTCAGTCTATGACCATCAAATCAGGCTTTTCTCTTGAAAAGAGAATTGTTATATTCAACAGTTTTAACTGATGGAGAAAGGAGGGATTTATTTACTTGGAGAGTATCTTTAAATGGCAAAGTTGTCCAGTGTGTTCTTAAATGTTCACTTATCTTTTCTCTGGGCTATGCAGTTTAACTCCCGTCTTTTAGAATTAGTGGTGCAAAAGATTCTAAAAATTAGTGATGCGTAAAACATTTAACTTTGTTGTATGCACTGCAATATTATTTGGTATTTGACAATTCAGACATGTGTATATTGGCCTGGTTGCGTTAAATGGATATTTTTGAGACTCAAATGTGAAAAAACGAAGTGTTGCTGTTTTGGGGGATGTGAACTATTCTAGTAGATCAAGCAACGTATGAACCAAATGAACACAGGTGGTACTCAACAGAGACTCATCAGCAGTGTACAGACATCCATATCAAGGCTTTATCAATCAAGTTAGTATTACACAGGCTTTTGTAAATAAACTGAAAGTGAATTCAAAACCAGAAATCATCTCCTCCACTGCTCCTAGTACTTGCTCTTTCTCTGCCTTTTAATCGAAGCATCTCCATGATACTCCGGGCATAGACATCTCTCAAGTTAACACTGATATATGAGTCAGTGGCTATATTCTTGGTAAGTTTCTTCAGAGCCTCACGCTGTCTAACAGCTGCTTCCTTGAGCTTTAAGGTGAAGTAGCAAGCAGAGAAGCGGTCGTTAATAATAGCAATGGGCAAGGCCAAGACAAGGATTCCCGATAAGATACACATGAAGGCCACGATTTTGCCCGTGGTGGTGTCTGGTCTGATGTCCCCATATCCCACGGTAGTCATGGACGTTGTGGCCCACCACCATGCACAAGGGACACTTGTGAAGGTTGTGTCGGGAATGCTCTGCTCAGCAAAATATTCCACAGTTGAAAATATAGAGATTCCTACAGAAAGAAATAGGAGCAGCAGGCCAACTTCTTCGTAACACTGGGTGATTGTCATTCCAAGTGAGCGTAAGCCTGTAACAGAACAATTGGTGTCAGTCATGGGCACCCCTCCTCTCTTCCTTCGTCCTTCCCTCCCTTCCCTTCTCCTTCTCTGCTACCCACCCACACACATGCATTTCACATTTAATATGGCTCCAGCATTGGGCAATGTTCTGGGGATATATAGATATAAATTATAATCTTCAGGAAGTTCTTAGTCTAGTTGATGGGGCCCGATTGAGAAGCATAGAAAAATATAAATAGATTCATTCACTCACTTATCATTTATTAAAAACCTACAATTTATACAAAAGAAAGGTGAGAGATGAGTTGGAGGGCAGGCAGGGGACGTTTGATAGGAGTTTGTACTTTATCCAATGGGAAACTTTGCAGCATTGCACGTGGAGGGCTCTCTTGGTCAGGTCTGCATTTCAGTGCCTCACCTTAGCACACTTTTCTAATGAAGTTTTATGTTGTCTCCTTATATTTTATGTGTCTGTTTTTCTCACCTTCCTGATAAAGTTTAATACAATTAGGGGCATCATTATCTGAAAGTCAGAGGAAGTAAAAGATGAAAATGAAGTGAAGCAGCAGAAACAAGTTAGGAATCAGTGACAAAATTGACATAAGAACATCAAATGTACATGCGAGGACATTCTCAGAGGTGTAGCAGGAGGGGTTCCTGCACTCCCATGGAACCCATTGAAATTTTTGTCCTTAATACCAAAGCTATAGGAAACTATCTCCCTTGAATACATAGAATTTCTCCTTTCCTGTCGGGAGATAGACCTGAATACAGACTATTCCTCCATTGTGAAAAGGTACAGGGGACTGGAGCCACTAGGGAATTCACTCACTATGAGGCATAGGTGAATTTCCCATTGCTAATTCTGAGGATTCTGCAAGACAGACCCAGGAGAGTCCAATCCCACCTCTGACGAGACTAAACCCTCAGGATAGTAAGAGGAGCCCATTACAGGATCGTGATTTGAATAAGGTATCTTTCCAACTCTAGAGAGATACTGATTAAAGTTTATCCACATTTCGAAGTCGTATTAACATGATGTCACAATGATACGGTCTCAGAAGTCCAGAGCAGTGCCTCTTGGAATCACTTTTAAATTTTTATTCACTCACTGGAGACTATTTTAAATATGTTAAAATACTATTTGTGCTCTCATTATTTTGAATTTTGTTCTTGAAATTTTCAGATGTTCTTGAACTATTAACCAGCTATTTTAAAATACCAATGAATATAACTTTGAGGTTTAACTTCAAAAGACATTTAAAGAATATCTTTAGAATACTGGCCTTGATATGTCTGTATTAAATTGCATTTCTGAAATATATTGACAACATATGAAGAAATGCATAGTGTTTGGGAAGGTTGTTTTCATTTCAACATTCTAAACATTTCATTTTGTAAAGAAACAAAGTGGCCTGAATTTCTGCATGTTACATCAATTAACTCAGGTAATCCTAAAAAATAATATGAGATAGATGTTATACTTATGCCATTCTACAGGTGAGCAGATTGAGACACAGAAAGGTAGCATATCTAGTACAAAGTTACATACCAAAGACTTAAAATTAGGCTGTCTGGCCCACCCATTGTCCTCCTAACCATTATTCTATAATACTTCTCAATTTTTATTTATAGTTAATACATAGGGGAATATGTGATCTATGTCTATATTTTGCTAAATGTAATGCTTTAGATAAAACTGTCAAATATTTATGCAACTGTTCATATCTTTTCAATAAATTAAGGCTTTATTAATCCTTCTACTTGCCTTAGAACTGACAAAACCTTTGAAGAGGTGACATTGTGGAAACATTGACATTATTTTCTTTTTCCTTTCTTTTGGGAAAAAAATGTATTCTTTACTGGGTGTTTTTAAATTGAATACTGTGAAGAGTTTATAAATACTAGAAGAAAGCATCCCATTATGTGTGTCAGAAAACAAAGAGTGGTACTTCTAAAAGTTGTTGGAAACCCCGTTATCAAATCCCTGGTATATGAGACTAGCTAGGAAAATACACTACTAAAACTATATTAGGAGAAATTGTAGTTTCCTCAGAGATGTGTGGGAAAAAACATGTCTGAGGTTAACTCCTCCCTATATTTATAGGGAGAGACAACTACCATCAACTCCTTTTAGGTGACCAGTCAGGCATATATCTAGGGAAATAGGTGGGAATAGGACTCTCTAGTCAAATTATTTATATTTATATGTATCGTATGAATATGGCATCCTACTCCAGTGTCTCTTAAAGTGTGGTTCAAGACCACCTACATCAAAACTAACTTGTTAAAATATATGCTTCTGGATCCAACCCCCCAAACTAAAATCTGACTCTCGGGGATTGGGGCTCAGAATTTGCATTTTAACAAGGTTTTCAAGGGATTCTTATTTTCATTAAAGTCTAACATAAGGTAACATATGTGCTCCAGAACATCTAACAGCCGGCTGGGCCGGCCACTGAAAATCATTGCCCTTGGGGATGCAAGCATCATCTTTAATGGATTTGTGTGATTTCCTCTGACATTGCCTAAAATTTTCACATATAATTGTGTGTGTGTGTGTGTGTGTGTGTGTGTGTGTGTGTGTGTTGTGTAGAGATTTTTCTAGGGAGAGTGTTCTTTAGATCTTCAAGGCTTTATGATACATACAAACAGCTAAGGAATTCCCGTTACCGTCTCTCTTGTGCCTCCCCAATTAGGGACAAGAAAATTCTCAGATACTAGACAAAGCATTTAATTAGTGTCTTTTGCTTTCTTCCAAAGCAAAATTTCCATTGCTTCTTCAAAAATCATGGGAGGGCCACCAGTGCCCAGTCATCTCTCTTTCTGCATAGCCAGAGAAGGCCCTGGAGGACTTTCTCTTCTCCCAAGGAACACGTGTGATACTTCCTTGGACACAGAAAAGAAACTGGCTTACGTTCCTATATATCACATATAATCTGTGCATATCTTTTTATGTGCTGTTTATGCATATTTTATGTAGAACCTTCCAGAAACACAGTATCTTTAATTTTCGTACATCTTCTGGGCACCTGGGTTAAAATAAAGTTAACGTATGGTTAAATTGTTTCTCAAATGTCTTAAGGAGAGGAATTGTGTGAGAGGCAGCTTGTCCTCTATACCTGTGATAACAACCTCAAGGTTTTGCTTTTCAGTACCTTTCTGGAGATCATAATTGGGTGAAATATAGGAGTTGGTAGTTTTGAGTATCAATTTGGAGTCAAGAGTCGTTTCCCTTGGACCATGGTCAAAGCACTAATGCTTAAAAACAATGGCAAATTAAAAGGCATCAATGAAAACTGAATACCTGTGGAATGCCTGCCCAGTTTGAGCATGCGCAGAGCCCTAAGCAGCCTCAAAACCTGGACGATGCGCCCCACGTTTTCCAGCTCCTGTGTAGTCTGGCTCCCACTCAGGCTCTCTACCAGAAGAGTGATGTAGAAGGGCAAGATGGCTAGGAGGTCTATGATGTTTGGCACCTTTCTCAGGAAGCGGCACCTGTCCCGCACGCACAGGAAGCGCAGGACAAACTCCCCGGTGAACCAGCTAATGCACACGTACTCCAGGATTTCCAGCAGCTGCAGGTCCAGCCAACTTAACTCGGCTGACATCAGAGCCATGTTGACGATGGACACCGCCACGAAGATGATGGATATGACCCCAAAGATTCGGGCAGCTGTGGAAGACCCCGGTTTCTCTAGGATGTTCCAGAGCTTCTGGCGGACGGTGGGGCAAGGTCCTTGTGAGAAGTCCTGTTCGCTCTCATGTTGACTTTCCTGGTCTTCTGTGTCCTTCTTAAAGTCTAAAGTTTCACTCAGCTCCTTTCTTCTGAAGTATCTTTTAGAGAAGACAACTTGGTGATTAGTCTAACTTTTTTTAAAATACAGAAGTAAAGAGAATTAAACTTGGCAGTGAAGTCATGCTTTTTATTTCAGGAAAATGCAGAAAATGTTCATTCATATTTTACCCAGGCTTTCTTCCCACAGTACTCAAATGTTCTCATTTAGGATTATTGTTTTTAAAATGGCACTTTCATGGTAGAAGTTTATACAAAAGAATTTATACATCGCAAAGCTACTTTAGATTAAAGCATTTTATCACCCATTTTTTCTGGTAACAGGAACAGAAGTTTGCGATATGTAATTTTTTTTAAGGTGGCTAATGGAAAGGTATTCATGAAGAAATGGTAGTAATAGCAAAGCAATAGCAAAATAATAGATCACCAAAGTCCCACAATCATCCACAGTCAAAGAACCAACTTTCTGCCTTCTGTATTTAAAGCAGTTCTTGTCCAAGTTTTAAAAGTTAGTGTCCTAGGTTTGATAATAACGCTCTCCACTGAAACCTACATCCCTATACATGCATTTTTTGGAGCATAAGATTTCGGACTCATTTATTTAACCACCAAATATTTATTGCAGGCCTGACCTCTCTTGACTTATAAATGAATTAGCATACTGGAAAAAGGAGAAGGTTCAGAAACTTCCAATCAGAAGTTGGCTTTGACACTTTCCGGCCTCCACTGCCACCCCACCTTCTAGCTCCGAAGTGGGCACAGGTATTCTTAAACCTGGCTTGAGCGAGGCTTGTGTAAAGCCTCAAATCTTTCCCTCTGCCGCCCTCTCTCCACCGCGCCCGCTGCCCCGCCCAGCCACCAAGCGCCTCGAGGGTACCTGTCCCTGCAGCAGGAGTCAATGCTGAGCTCGTCGATGCCCCAGTACTGGATCTCCTGGAGGAAGGAGAGCGCGCACAGCTGCTCCATGACGTGCAGGCGGCCGGTGCGATAGTAGTGCAGGACGTAGCGGAATGCTTGCGAGCTCCGGTCGAAGAAGTACTCGTTGTCCACGGGGTTGGCGTCGTCACAGAGCTCCAGGGGGCTGGGCACGGCGGTCAGGGCCCCGGGGCGCCGGCACGAGGCCACCACCACGGCCAGCTTGCCAAGGCGCGTGTGTGGGAAGCAGGACAGAGCCTGCTGCGAGAGCACAAAGCGGCTGCCGCCCACGTTGACTGTGAAGCTGTCCCCGAGCGCCAGGGGCTCCCCTTCGCCCTCGCTGCAGAAGACGCTGGAGTCCAGCGAGGTCAGGGAGGCGCTGTCCAGCGGCGAGTCCGGCGACGCCCGGCCGCGGGGAGGCAGCTCCATCCTTGCCGCCGCTGCCGGAGGGCGCCACAAAGTTGGGGGCGGTGGCACGTCCGGGATTTCCCGGGCTCCCGAGGTGGGTTCCTCCCACCCCCGAACCCTTACTCTCTCCACCCGCCTGTGCTCGTTCTCCCTCTCGCCGCTAGGGCGCTGCGAGTGCGCCGTAGCAGCGCACAAGTGTCTGAGCGCCGGGTCTGGGAGGAGCGGAGGGGTCGCGCCCAGGGAACTGCTCAGGTGTGGACCAAGCCGAGGACATCCGCAGGGCACACTGCCGGTCGCCGTGGTCCTTCCCGGACTCAGTACCCCTTCCCCAGCTTTGTAATTGAGATCTCCAGCCCGGGAGGTGTATGGGTTGAAGGCCTCCCTGCTTGGGGGTTGGAGCGGGAGGGGAGGGGAAGGGGGAGGGAGGTCTACAGTGGAGGAGGGCACGACGAATCTTGGAGGAATGCAAGCAAGGGGAAGGGCAAGACTCACTCCCGCCTGCAGGAGACCAAAACGAAAAGTTCAGAAGGCAAAGGAAGTGGTAACCGGGTCTGAGTCTTTTCCAACTTCAGGATATATATTCCTCTCTCTGCTTTTGCTGCGCAGTTTCATAGGCCTCCCAGGGAGTGGTCGCTGGGGATGCGCGCACGTGGGGGAGGGTGACCTGGGTGCAGGGTTCGAGTCATTTGCTCGCATCCACTCTCATTCTAGTCTGTCACTCACGCTTCGTTTTATTCTCCCTCCTCCCCTAATTTTTGACCTCCTGGTTGAGAAACGAGGACAATTAATGATGACTTTCGATTAAGTCCCAGTGAGTCACTGAGAACTAGGGGTCACCATTGCCAGCTCCCGTCACGTGTTGAGGCACTTTGCGCCCTTCGGTTTAGGCTTTTCTGTCGCTACAAGTTTCCCGGAGAGCAGGTGTTCTGGGGGCATTCTTCGGTACACAGCAGAGCTGTCATTTTAGGAGAAGGGAAGGCAAAAAGACAAGGACTAGAACAGGCGTGGGCTGGGGCAGGAGTTTAAATAGTAACGACGACTCGGTAAAGGGAGAAGCCGAGCGCTGTGCCCAGGTGAGGCTAGAAGTGCATCCACGGGGCCCCTGGGAGTCGCGCCCCGGCCAACCTGTTGGACACGGGGCGGGAGCGAGGAGGAGGGCAGGGTGACTCACCTGCTGCTCCGGGCACATCTGGGGTGCGCTCAGTGGGCGCAGCTGGCTGCGTAGCCTCGATTTGATCCTCGCGATTTACACGTGAGTCTGACTTCACAGGTCCGGGAAGAGGGCTGTGCTCGCGGCTGAGCTCCTCGCCCGCGCTGGTTGTCTAGCCTCGCCTCTTCGCCACGAGCCTCCCGGCTCCGGCCCCTAGGCTGCGGCGGAGGGTGGCCGCCCCCGCCCGCGCACGCTCCCAGCCCTCGGCGGTTCCCAGCGCCAGCTGTGAGGAGAGCGGGGAGCGGAGGGAGGTGAGACCGGAGGAGGAAGTGAGGCGCTCAGTGACTGAATCTTACATTCATCCTGAAGGCGCTTCAAGGATTACTATATTAGATTCTCGTTTCCCGGAATCTGTGCGCTCACAAATGCTCAAGAACAAAATTTTCCAGTTGTATAAATCTGCGAAACTCAGGGTTAGGGCAGTTACGTTAACTGCTTTGTGTGGCACGGTTCAGGGTTGTCCTCATTATTTCCAGAAAGCGTCTGGGAATCCTGCATTTTTCAGAAGTCTTTGCAAGAATGAGTGCACCACACTTAGCTCCTTTTTTTCCTTGTAAGTAGTTTTAGAAAGTATATATAAAGAGGTAAAGCAGGCAGATTGACCTGAAACATAGTTGTTTAGTTCTGGCTTTGTCAACTGGCTGTGGAAGCTCTAGCTGGCATTTACTTCAAGGGCCTCAACGCCTTCCTTAGTAAAATTTCAGGTTTTAATAAAAAACACCTAACCTTTACTGGGTGCTTACTTTATGCCAGGAAATTTTTGTAAGCCCTTTACTCATTCAGTACCTTATTTAATCATAATAACAATACTATGAGGTAGAAGTATACTTGATTTACAGAAGGGAAGACTGAGGCAGAGAGAAATTATGTGATTTACTTAGGGTCACACATTCCAAATTAAAACCCAGGACTAATTGTCAGAGGCTGGCCCCATAAACACAGTGCTTGGGACGTATCATTTTTGTGTGATCTTTAAGTAAACCAAAGTGTGGTTGTATTTATTTACTTACTTTTGCAGCTTTCTAAAGAAGGGCAGGAGTTTAATGATGTATTTTCTCTAATCTTTCCACAAACGCTTGTTGCGCATCCACTATGTACCAGGCACTATTTTAGGTGCTTCAGATGGCTCCATGAAAAAAACCAGACAAGATCCCTGTCCTTATGGAACTAACATTTTCCTGTGAGAATAAAAGAACAACTTCAGTGAAATTTATAAAACAGTATACAGTATTTATCAGTTGTGGCTCTTTGGACGGCTATCCTCCTGGTTAACTTTTGCCTCTATAAAGAACTCTTCCATACAGAAAATATGGAGTTAAAAATCATCCTAGTAAGTAGTTCATCGTTATGTATGAGTACTGTGAAATTAATTTTTTTTAAGGTAGTGAAGATTTTCCCTTACATAGAGAGAAAAATTTCTCCAATATTTCACTTATATATTGGGCGTTGAAAAAAGCCAAAAGTTCTTTTAAGCCTTATTCATCCTTTAGTGTGAATAACTTGAATCAAATGATTAGCAGTAAAGTCTCCCCTAGCTTTACAGATTATTGTGAGGAAGGAGGAAAACTTTCAGAGGAGAATGACAGATTTGAGTGAGAAGGGAGATCTTGGACAGGTGACCAGAGGTTAGCAAATGGTGACTGAGGCTTGCAGGTCTCCTACGCTGCCACCAGGACCCTGGAATCAGTTGTAATTAGTGGTGTCCTGTAGAAGTAATTGTAACAATAACCACTCTTGAAGTGTAAGGCTCAAGCTAAGCATCTGAATTCTCACAATGATCCCATGAAGTAAGTATTGTTATCCTTAGCCACAAATCTCAACTCAGAGGCGCACAGGCACTAAGGAACTTTCCCAGTTGTATAGTGAATATGTGAAGGGGAGTATATTAAGGGACCGAAACTGGGGTCTTTCTGACTCCAGATTTCATCTCAACTGCTAAGAACCTAAAATTTTCAATTGACATTCAATTTGATTAAAACAGTTTCCACTAATTAAAGTAATTATAACTAGGGATTTCACTGGTGGTGCAGTGGTTAAGAATCCGCCTGCCAGTGCAGGGGACACGGGTTCGAACCCTGGTTCAGGAAGATCCCACATGCTATGGAGCAACTAAGCCCTGCGCCACAACTACTGAACCTGTGCTCTAGAACCCACATGCCACAACTACTGAAGCTCTCACGCCTAGAGCCCATGCTCCACAACAAGAGAAGCAACGCAATGAGAAACCCGGGCACCACAACGAAGAGTAGCCCCCGCTCGAGGCAACTACTGTCTCACCTAGAGAAAGCCTGTGTGCAGCAACGAAGACCCAACGCAGCCAAAAAACAAAACAAAACAATAATTATAACTAGAAAGATGGTTACTAGTTAACTGGGAGTATACAAACACAAATGACCTATTTTAAAATACAGTCTCTTGGGTAGCAAAAATCCCGGCCTTCTTCCCTGTCCTGTTCCCTTTAATCTGTTGTCTCTGCTCACTCATTGATTGTCCAGGTTTGAGTCAGAGAGCCCACTGAAAAACATATGACAAATTAGGGGGGAAATAAATCCATGCAGAGGGAATCCTTCCTGGTCCCTGATCTTGACCTGAGATATACCCTGAAGTATGTCAAGAAATGAAAGAAGAATTGCTGATAAGTAGTTGGGGATGGGGAGGTCTTGCTTTCCATCTCATTCCTACTTAGCATGGGAGGAATGTGATTGTCATGTAGGAGGTAGCACAGTACTGAGACAGGAAAACTCGACAACCTAATGGCTTTGTGGATATTTCCCTAGTCATCAGATGTTATATTCAGGTGATTTTCCATTAACAGTCTTGTGATGAAGTGCGCTACTGGTGTTTGGCTTTATCAGGTCTTCAAAATATCGATAGGAATGTTGAATCCCCAGGTACAACTTGTATTTTTAATTCTTCCAATTTTTATGAATATTTCCAAATTTATTAATGAACAGCATGCATTCTTAACAGTCGTGTTTTTAAATTGGATTAAAAGAAAAATCACGATACCTTAAATTGACTCTAACGCAGACAATTATGAAAGTAAAAGTTAAAAGTCATTTGAAGCACGTTCAAAATTTCTATTATTAAAAACCTAGACCATTTTATTCAGGTTTTTAAAAAAGTAATGAAAATGTATTTATATTATTATTGTATTCCGTTATTCTGTGATTTATTTAAATAATATAATATGTTTCTGTGAAATTATTAATTCTCATCTTTTATTTGAAAGTTTTAAAATGATTTTACATATATGATTATAAGTTATTGAAATATTTTTAAAGGAAAATGTACATTTCTTATTAATTTATATCCCCAATACTGCAACTTTACATTTATTTTTAATAATTAAATAGACAGGGGACGTATAATGACTGAAAAATTTTGAATAAAGCAATTTATAGACTTCAACTTGAGTAAACTCTACATTTTCATTTTCAACCATTTCATTTTCAACCACATCACTGTAGACTCACACTAGAACCCCTTTAATTTATCATTCATTAACAATGCAGACCATATTTCATGCGAGGTGTGCCTGCCTATCTTTGACTCTGTGTTTCATTACCTAGGGACTGACAACCAGATGAGTTAATTGTAATGATGTTCAAAATGCCTTTGTGTAAGGACAAAATGACTTTATCTTCTTTCTTTTCACTGCATTGGAATATGTTTAAAGGTAAAGGAAAATCTGACAAATTCTATCTATTCATCTTTCATGTGCCTTCTAGGTGCTTGGAATAAATCCTCCCAACTGTATAACAGCCCACTCTAATGCAGAATTTAGCTTAATGTGGGCTTGTTCTGGATTCCTTCCAAGGGGAGGCAATTGTCTTTGGAAGTACCCAAGAACTCATTTTTATAGCCTAGTCTGCTACAGAGATCACAGGATGGGTTGATGATGGTGATGAGATAGTAATATGATAATAATAGATGCTACCTTTACTTATTCAACCTCTGCTCTGTCTTTTATTAGCTGTGTGACC